AGCAGGGAGCCCGATGCGGGACTCAATCCCGGGACTCCAGGATCATGACCTGAGCCGAAGGCAGTCGCTTAACCAACTGAGCCACCCAGGCGCCCGGGAATTATTTATTTTTTAAAAGCACAAGCCGAGGTCATACTTGGAAAATTCTACGAACAAACAAGTTGCTGACTATCTTACCAAACCTGGGAGAATACTCTGGTCAGCACTGGTATATTCAGCATAATGTCAAATACGATTTACAAATAGGATTTAGGAGTTGGGAATTGAAAAAAGGAGATCCGTGATGCTCATGATGAAGCTCTTTTGCTGGCTAGCTCTTGGAAGTGCTTTGATTTCTATCATATCATAGCAAACCGGAGGGGGCATCCGGGGCTTAGGGTCATTTTGGTCGGGGTGGCTGAATGAGCTGCAGTGGATGGAATCCATGAAACATGATCATTTTTAGGACCAGACTCAGGCGGCTGAGTCCCCACCACCTTCACAGCCACTTGCTGATTTGCCTTTGTCACTCTCTAGAGGTAGACGATGACAGGACCTTCAACTTGGGTGGAAAATCTCAGCACCAAGCCAGTGAACCACTTGCATAAAAAAGGAACACCAAACACCCCCATATTTAAAAGCTGCATGACGATTTGCCTTACCTAGCACCGTGTACCATTTTTAAGATAGTAAGAGCCCTGCAATGAAGAGGGGGTGCTACACATCATCCAGCTCTGACACCACAGCCACACATCCAAGAAGTTTCAGTGTTTCTGGCTGATCAGGAGGGACTAACCACCACATATCACAGATACGACACCACCCATATCAGCCACCTGATAACCACGAAAGTCAATGATGTATCTATCAGAGGGTATACACCCTCGCCCTACTGTTCTGTTTATAGTCAACAAACTACCCAAGGATATTAATTCAATTTTTGTAGACCACGTAGATTAAATCATGTTCGGCTGGTGAGACTTACAACAGTCCTTACGTCAAGGTGAGTATTTTAAGAGCCTAAGGCGGATTTTTTTCCCCTTAAAAGTGTAACTTTTACCTGTTGCGTGTAACGATCTATTTTGGATTGTGCCTCAGGAGACAGTTCGATATCTTTGGCTCCATACACAGCCTGCGCAATGGTTCTTATCTTTTCTACAATTGGAAGCTGGAGAAACACAAATGACAATGAAATCGTTAATGTTAATCCGGTTAAAGAACTGAAGGAAAGCTGAGTGAGCTTTTCTACAGTCGCCTAAAATTTCCTACCAGATTTCCCCCTCAAGACCCGTGCCATTTGAAGCAAATACTCTTTCCTCTATCACCCTTAGAGTATGAAGAAACATCAATAAGCTTTAGATTTGAGCCAACTCAAAGGCTGCTTATCTAGTTAATCATTTTTATCCATTGCATTGTTTTAAAAAAATGTACCTTATACTACGGTCTTATAAGTCAGAACAGGAGTCTCCTGAACAAATACTTAATGCTGGTGTTTAAGTGCCTCTGAACTCAGGTTATATGACAGAGAACACAGCAAGAATAAAAACAAGTACGTTTTTTTGTGAGTAAGAATGGGCTGATACATATTTTTAAATATTTTATTTGTTTATTTATTTATTTATTTATTTATTGCAAGAGCACGAGCGGGGGTGGGGAGGGGCAGCAGGAGAGGGAGGAGAGGGACTCTCAAACAGACTTGAGAGGAGCAGACGTGGAGCACAATGCGGGGCTTAATCTCATGACCCTGAGATCATGACCTGAGCTGAAATCAAGAGTCAGATGCTTAACTGACTGAGCCACCCAGGCACCCCGGAATGGGCTGATATTTTAAATGCTGATGTGATCACTTAATTGGGAAATAAGAGGTTGAAACTAGTGTCAGTTTAGCAAATTATGGGAAATCATGGAGGCTGGGAAAGAATCCAAGAAGGCTAGGTATGGGCAAATGAGTGTGTGGGGTGCAGAGAAACAACCTTCCATAATGCTGGATGGGAAGCCCGGATGCCGATGGCTGGTAAAATACTGAAAGTGATCTGGAGAAAAAACTGGTTCATTAGGAAAGGAATATGCTATAGATAAAGTGACCCTTATTTACGCCAATCATTTGACAAAATCATTCATAATTTTACTGTGCAGAGAACATACACAGGCGTCATGCAGTTAGTGGATTTACTGTTTGGTGAATAGCTATTGGGCCAAGTGCCCACTGGTGGAATGAATGTCAACCAAGGGGCAGAAGTCTTTCATGGCCTGCTCCAAAACTTTGCTCGGCAATGGCAAATGGTACATTTGTATGAATTACTGTTGATACACACAGGAAGGAGAGTTATCCAACAGGAGAAAATAAAAGCTAGCTCTATCCCCTCAATCTGATAGAGCCCCAAACTGCTTTAAAATGTGTTTTTCACTATTCTAGCGTTTATTACTATAGAGTTATTCTGTAGTCTGGAACTGAAATATTGGACGTTTCAACAAATAATAAATGAAGGTGCAAGTCATTATACCCTTTCATTGAAGGACATAAAAGATGGTCTGAATCAATGGAGAGGAATACTTTGTTCATTGGTGTGAAGACGTAATACTATAAAGATGTGGGCGCCTGGGTGGCTCAGATGGTTAAGCGTCTGCCTTCGGCTCAGGTCATGATCCTGGAGTCCCTGGATCGAGTCCCGCATCGGGCTTCCTGCTCCACGGGAAGCCTGCTTCTCCCTCTGCCTCTCTCTCTCTGTCTCTGTCTCTCATGAATAAATAAATAAAATCTTTTAAAAAAAAATACTATAAAGATGTCAGTTCTCTTAAACATAACCTATTAGCTCAATGCAATTCCAATAAAAATCCCAAGAGCACTTTGGGATGCTTGGCCAACCAATTCTTAAATTCACAACAAAGAGTAAGAGCACAGTTAGGTAAGATAACTTCAAAGATAAATAAAACAAAAAGAAGAAAGATAGGGGACTGGCCTTTCCAGGTATCAATCACACTACAAAACTATGGTAATTAATTCCATATGGTATTGGCACACGACTAGACAAATCAATCAATGGAAGATAAGAAAGAACCCAGAAGGATACCACAGCAGGTGTGGGATAGTATATAGTAGAAATGACACAAAACAGGGAAAGGGCTGACTATCCAACTGACTTTTGGCTGGAGAGAAATAAAATTAAGATTCCTACCTCACAACTGGTACCCAAATAAACCCAATACAGAACAAAGGCAAAACTTTTGAAATTAAAAAGCTAAATAATGGGAACAAAACATTGGGAACTCTCTTTACGGTCATGAGGTAGGGAAGGATTTCTTAAACAAGAACAGGATACACCCTAAAAGAAATGACTTATAGATATGACATCAAAATTTAAAACTTCTTGTATTAAAAAAAAGACCATAAATAAGGGTAGGGGTTAAGGAACAGTCTGGGAGAAGGTAGATACATGCACATATTTAAAAGTCAAAAGATTAGCTACTGGAATGAATTAAAAAAAACCTCCTACAAATGAAGAAAAAGACAAACAAATATTTAATTCTGGGCATAAGGAGTGACTAATAACCATATGAAAAAATGCCCAATCTCATTAATAATCAATGAAAGGCAAACTAAAATGGTGAAAATCCAATTCACACTCATTAGATTAGCAAGAACAAAAAGCATGAGAATATCAAGTAGAGGTGAGGATGTGGGGGCAATAATCCTTCTAAGTACTCCTGCCTTGGTTGAGATGCTCATGGTCTAGCCCATCATGAAGCTTCCTAACTGGTCTCTTCCCTTTCTTTTTTTTTTTTAAAGATTTTATTTATTTATTTGAGAGAGAGAATGAGAGGGGGGAGGGTCAGAGGGAGAAGCAGACT